GGATGCCATAACAGGCCGAAAATGTTAGTTTTCAAAACTTATTATGTGCAGGTCCTGAGTTCGCCAAACATGTGAAGAGTGCAAATGGACTGTATTTGTGGCTATAACAAAATACAAGGATTAACATTGTATTATGCCTTTATTCTTTTAGCCGTACTTGTAAGTGATGATGATGACGATGATGATGATGAAGGACCGGTAGCAGCAATTGAAGAGGAGGAAGAGCAACCGGCACCTCAACCAGATGTCGCAGAAGACTCAGATGAAGGGGTTGAAGATGAAGGAAAAGGTGGAACGTAAGCACACCATTTGCCTTATTTTTAAAAACTTTAAATCTCTTTTTGCAAGTATATCCGGTGTTAACAAAAGAATGACCCCTCATGTTCGGAGTGTTTGATCCAATTTTGGTTGTTTTGGATGACAACGCCCAGATCAATGTAACCTTGTAGGATGTTACTATGAAAAAGTTTAAATATTTTTGATTTGTTATTGGTATACATTGTTGTGCAGATTTGTAAATTTGCATTAATTAATGCATTTCTTGACATCTAGGAGAAGAGTTATTAAAGAAAAGTCCAACATCTGAAACTTCGTCAAACTTGGTATTTCTGTTGTAGTCATCTCATCCCAGTAGTGGATTGGAAATGGGGGGGTGGGGAGGTGGATGGGTCTGAGAGTGCTATTTCCGGCTACCTAGAAGTGCCATAATCCTATATTTTCTTAACTCAGCCCCACCATGTTCTAGATTCTCCATCTGTGAATTTCCCTCACTAGGCCCCTGTATTTAGAATTCCTGTATCCGCTACTGCACTCCCAGCCTTTCATAGCACTTCCTCGTAGGCAACCTTTTATAGTCATCAAATCGCCAACTTTTTATAGGTTTTCCTAATAGCCATTCCCTCCTATTCTTCTCATCACAAGCTCTCATAGCACTCTCACGTAGCCAAATAGTTTTGGTAATCTTATCGCCAACTTTTCAGACCACACTCTCATAGCCAAGGTCGAAGAGTCATCTCTTTGTTTCCCTCATATAGATAACCTGTTTATCACTTTAAAAACTTTGTTAATGATTTTCTTTTGTATTCCGTATTTCAAAGGAGTGAAATGTCAGACTTTGATCTGATGTTGGAAAGGAAAAAGAGGGAAAACCAATCACGGAGAAGAAAGAGGAGACAGGATGATATCATCAACGACAATGATGACATCATTGTCGCCATGATAAAGCAAATGATTGAAGCTGCTAAGGTAAGAGAGATTATCATTATTTAAGATGAATGGGTATCTGAATGATAGAATTAAGAATGACTTAGGCCTAACCTTTAAGTTTTTATATGGGGGAATGTTCTTCTCTTTTTTGAGACACCCCTCAAGTCATAAGGTGTCTTGG